CCTAAGATGACTCATTGTTTTAGCCTTGCAGCTCAGATGTGATGGCAATCACACACACACACACACACACCCAGGAAGAGGGAGGGAGGAAGGGAGGGATAAGTTACACAAAGCCAGTGGAGATCCCAAAAGTGATTTTATCATTCCATTTCTATGAAAGAAGATATAGAAGTCTGAGCTAAAAAAAGGGGAAAAAAGGAAATTAAAATAGGGCTGCATTGCTTAGAGTCTTGAAGGATGTGGTAGTAGAACCATGACTAGACAGTCTAGTTATTGAAATGCAAAGTGTACATGCATTTAAAAGAATATTGCCTTTAAAGATTAACTTGGGAATTCTTTCTGAATTTTCTACAGTATATATATACGCTTTTGTTGCCAAAAATAAAATAGTTTTTTTGAGATAGCGATGTTGTTTGTAAAAAAAACCATTCAATTTCCCACTCTCCAAATCCTCAGCTTTATTAAACCAGTCTCTTCCTTTGGTGACTGGCAGTGTTGATATGCCTATCATAGCATAGGTAGGAAATGCCAGCACAGAACTGGTGCTGTGAGCCTGCTCATTGGGGGCCTCTTATAGAGCCCAAATCCTTTCACACCAGTAACTAAGTGTTTAACCTTTATTCTTAAAGAATTGTGTGTATGTGAGAGAGATTAAGAAATAAAAATAATGCTAAATTAATTCATTTTCTCAGGTTTGTCTAGCTAGACTCTAATTTCTATATTGTATTATATTATGTGGGCCTAAACTCTGAACTCTGATTTGTTTAATAAGCTAGAGATTGTTTTAGCCACTAAGCCTGGCTCTTCTCTCTTTTAATTGTCAAGGAAATAGTATTAGAAACAAACAAAATGTGGTATATTTATAAAGCAACCATTAAAAATCATGATTTCCAGTAATAATGCAACATTGTGAATAGTACTCACAACATTAAATGATAAGCAGTATATCAGGCACATGTGAAGTCTGATACTATTAAAAGCTGATTAATAGCCCTGGCCGTTTTAGCTCAGTGGTTGGAGCATTGGCCCGTGGACCAAAGGGTCACAGGTTCTATTCCTGGTCAAGGGCATGCGCCTTGGTTGTGGGCTGGATCCCCGGCCCTGGTCAGGACATGTGTGGCGGGCAACCATGTCTCTCTCCTATCCATGTTACTTTCTCTCCCCATTCTTCCTACCTTCCTCACTCTCTAAAAGTCAGTAGAAAAATATCCTCGGTTGAGGATTGAAAAAAAAAAAGTTGATTAATATAAGATATTTTAAAACTTGGAAGAAAATTTCTAAAATGTTTCAGTCGGTATTTTTGTTGTCGTTCTGCTTGTTCGTTTATTTTATTTTTTAGAGTCACTTGTTGATAGATATGTATTTATTGCCATTTTATTATTTATATTTTAATTTTATTTTTTTTCTTAAAAAAGACTTTTTAACATTTCATATAATACTTGTTTGATGGTGGTGAACTCCTTTAGCTTTTTCTTGTCTGGGAAGCTCTTTATCTGTCCTTCAATTGTAAATGATTGCTTTGCTGGGAAGAGTAACCTTGGATGTAGGCCCTTGCTTTTCATCACTTTGAATATTTCTTGCCAATTCCTTCTGGCCTACAAAGTTTCTGTTGAGAGATCAGTTGACAATCTTATGGGAGCGTCCTTGTAGGTAACTAACTGTTTTTCTTTTGCTGCTTTTAAGATCCTCTCTTTGTGTTTAACCTTTTGGCATTTTAATTATTATGTATCTTGGTGTGGGCCTCTTTGAGTTTATCTTGTTTGGGACTCTCTGTGCTTCCTGGACTTGTATGTCTATTTCCTTCACCAAATTAGGGAAGTTTCCTGTCATTTTTTTTCAAATAGGTTTTCAGTTTCTTGCTCTCTCTCTCTTCTCCTTCTTGCACATCCATGATGCAAATAGTGGTACACTCAAAGTTGACCCAGAGGCTCCTTACACTATCCTCATTTTCTGTATTCTTTTTTCTTTTTTGCAGTTCTGATTGGGTGTTTTTTGCTTCTTTATATTCCAAATCGCCGATTCAGTTCTCAGCTTCACCTACTCTACTGTTGATTCCCTGTAAATTATTCTTTATTTCAGCCAGTGTATCCTTCATTTATGACTGGTCTTTTTTTATGCTTTTGACGTTCTCACTAAGTTTATTGAGCATCCATATAACCAGTGTTTTGAACTCTGCATCTAGTACATTGCTTATCTCCATTTTGTTTAGTTCTTTGTCTAGAGTTTTGTTCTCCTCTTTCATTTGGGACATGTTGCTTTGTCTTATTTTGGCAGCTTCCTTGTGTTTGTTTCCATGTATTAGGTAGAGCTTGAATATCTCTTGGGCTTGGTAGAGTGGCCTTATGTAATTGGTGTTCTGTAGGGTCCAGTGGCACAGCCTTCCTGGGCCCTCAAGGTGTGTGTACAGTCTCTTGGTTTAGTTGAGCCCTGATTGCTGTTGACATTTTGTTTTACCCCCAGGCCTATCAGCTGCAGAGACTAGCTCCAACCACCCACCTCTGACCACTGTGGAGAATCAGCTCGTCCCCACAGAGCAGGACTTACTTTATGGGGCTCTGCTGCCTGCTGAGTCCACCCCTTGAGTGTGTCATTCGTGGAGATGGTTGGGTGATGGTATTTCAACATGGTCTGAAGCTGTCCACTGAGTGTGCAGGCTCTGGGGCCTCCTGGGAGGTGCAGACCAAGGTCAGCTGCCACCTGTGTTCTGCCCAGAGCCACCTGACATGAGCTACAAAGGGATCCGCAGATGGCTGCTACTTGTGCCAGGCTTGGAGGTACCCAAGAGAGGCCAAGCTATGAACCAAGGCTGCTGCTGCCAATGCCAGGCCTGGGGCCACTTAGTGAGAGGTACAGGGCACGCTGAGGCCAGGTGCTGCTTGTTTGAGAGATTTTAGGAAAATCTGAAGCATAAGCCAAGACAGGCTATTCCTGTCAAAAAGCCCCTGTAAATAGCTTGGGTGGGCCTGAAAGGTGAGTGGGGCAGGGTCTTAGGGAATCACCAGGGCAGAGCAAACAGTGTGAGCCAGGTTGATGGAGACTCAGATATGATGCCAGCCTGCCAGTTCTGTGAGGGGAGGGCTCATTGAAGGAACAATAGCCTCTGCCAGTACTTTTGTCTCAGAGAAAGCTGTCCTCGCCCCAGCTCTCACCTTGATGCTAGACACTTCAGTTCCTCCCTGTATGTCCCTAGTGCCTTTCAAAATGCTGCCCCAGCACTGGATCTCAGACGGATTGAGTCCAAGTAAGTCCATGTATGGTCCCATTAAGAGGAACTGCCTGGGACTCCAGCAGCCCTCTGTCTCCTTCAGCCTCAGTTTCTGCTGGTTTTTACAGCCAGAAGTTATGGAGACTTCTCTTCCTGGCATCAGAACCCTGGGCGGGGGGCCTGGTGTGCGGCTGGGACCCCTTGCTCCTCTTGGGACCTCTGTACTGAAACATCTCTCCCTGCCGATTTTTACCTGCCACATGTAGGTGTGGGACCGGTGCATTCCACATCTCCACTCCTCCTACCAGTCTCCATGTGGCCTCTTCTTTAATTCCCCAGCTGTAGGACTTCCATTCAGACAGATTTTAGGTGGTTCTGAGTGACAGTTGTTCTGTAGTTTAGTTGTAATTTTGATGATGTTGTGAGAGGAGGCTAGTACCGTGTTTACCTATGCCCGTCTTGACCAGAAGTCCTCAGGTTGTATTCTTGATGGATACCTATAGGCTATTTTATTATTTCTTTTATAGTTTTTCCCCATATTTTTCAGAGTAAAATATATGTATTGATCTTATAAAAAATACATAACATTATTTTTAAAACTCTTAGGAAAGCAGCAGGAGCGCTCCTCTGAGGGGGCCAGGGAGAAATCAGTGTCACTGTTGAAAGTAATACCAGGCCTTGTTTCTGTTGACTTGAAGATTTTTGAGCTCCTTATTCATTAGGTGGGTCAGAGGTGTCCTGTTGATGAAAAATGCCAGCCCAGTGATACGCAACAGGTGCAGACCTCTGCCTTGTAAGCCCTGGGAACATTTTGAGAATTGCCAGCATTTTGGCTGTGTTTTGCAGCTCTCACAGCTGCTGTGTATCAAGCAGATGCTCTAACATTTCCGTGTTCTGAGCTGTGAGATCTGGCCCAACTGTTCCTAAACACCCCAGGCTTTGCCCAGCTACCAAGTACCTGACCATAGTATTGTCATGAGAGCTGTTAAATGAAATTCTGGGGCAGAAGCCATCTGTCATTTAATGTGCTTCCAAAGGGAGTCAAAGGGATAGTTGTTCATCCAGAGCAAAGAGAATATGAG